CCTCACGTATCTGAGGTCTCCAATGTCGCTGTAACCTGCGATACGAATTTGATGACCCTTCCGTTCCGAGGCTGCTTATCGTATCTTATCAACTGTTAGCTTTCTGTCGCCCAATGATGTTCCCGTCCCACACCCTATATCACCTCTCGGATCCAAGGACCCACTGTTCCTGTGAGCCGCACTGTGAATTTGGTAGTCCTTCCCTTCTAATGCCCATTATCAGATCTTATCAGCTGATATCACATCCTGTCACCTACCAATAATGTTTTCGTCCCACCCCCTATTTCACTGCTCGGAACCAACGTCCCACTGCTGCTGTCACCCGCGTTATGAATATGGTGACCTCCCCCTTCTAACGCCTCTTATCGTATCTTATCAGCTGATATCACATCCTGTCACCTACCAATAATGTTTTCGTCCCACCCCCTATTTCACTGCTCGGAACCAACGTCCCACTGCTGCTGTCACCCGCGTTATGAATATGGTGACCTCCCCCTTCTAACGCCTCTTATCGTATCTTATCAGCTGATATCACTTCCTGTCACCCACCAATTGTGTTCCCGTCACACCGCCTACATCACTTCTTGAAATCAATGTCTCACTGTTACTGGGACCGGCGCTATGAATTTCGTGACACACAGACAGACGCACACACAAACATACACACACACTTACAGACATACTTAGCGGATTATATAGAGTAGGATGGATAATCATGAAATGATCTAACATTTAGTGCTGGCATCAGGCGGACGACAAAACAAATCGTACTCCGAGTACACATGGATTGGCCTAAGACAAAAGGGCCATCCGGAAAGTAAAGAGTGGACGTGGACTGACGGAACTCCTGTGAGTTACATGAAATGGTCTCCTCGCCAACCAGACAATTCAGGAAATGCTGAAGGCTGCGCTCATGTTAGTCCTCTCTTAATTCCATTGATCTTCGCCGTTACAGACGACATGACCGACAACTCCTAAGAATCAGCAGTGAAATGCCTAGTCTTGATTATTCATAGTGAATATTTCATATTTATGCTCATTTCAGTTAATGGACGATTTTTCGAAAGGAACGATAATGGGATTTTGGAATGATATCAACTGCCGCAAAAAGATGTCCCAGTTCATGTGCAAAAGGTCCACGGAACGCAAACATGGCAAATAATGTGTGATACAAAAGAATATCATTCATGTTTAATAATATATTACTGCCCTCCAGTTAGTATAACAACATTTTCCTCAGTCCTTTCCTTCGTCCCGCTTGCCCTTTTCATGATGTCATTACCGTCCATCTTCTCTCAGCTGAATGAATGATTCGTTCAAATACTACCTAGAGAGGTAAGAGTCAGAGTTGACAGCTTAGTTGCTTATTATTTTTTTATTACACACCGAGAAGCCTGTCCTACCTGTAAGCTCAATCGAATGTCTTCTGCGTTCGGGATTGCTTTCATCATAATCGAACTATGACAATTACACATGCTTGAACAGTCTTCCAAAGGCCATAGTTAAGTTGAGTCTAAGCATGAGTTAGCAGACGTTATGACCACACCGATAAGCGGAATCGGGGAAATATTAGGTTGTTCGAAAAGTCCTGCGACACTTTGATTGAATTGTTCTAGAAAAAGACCAAAAATCATTTTGAATGTTTTTATCTCTGATTAGTGGAGACTGTCTCCTGGGGTTTCTGAAAATGGGTATATCATGGCTCCGTGGAAGTTTTCAAAGCTTAAAAATACCTCAGAGATCGAGGTACTTCTCGACCTATCCCATATTATGAGTTCCTGTAGGGCAACTCCGCCATAGTCGAGGAAGCTAACACTTACGTTGTCTTGAGGAAGGATATCGCTTGCCATAGCAGAGAGTTCCTTTTGCATCAGCGCTTCCAGGCTGGACTTATTCAACTCGGAAGTAGGCAATGTATAGGTCGGCCACCAGCACAGAATGACGGCCCTTTACTCAAGCTTCTTGAGGCGCAGCCGAACGTAACCACCAGTAAGTTGGCAACTTCTCTGCTAGGCTAACCTAACCTGCCATGCCATGATTCTCCGACAGTCTCGGTGTAGGAAAAAACTTACTCTATAAAGGGCCCTTACACATTGGAGCCCAGTCTGACAAGTCATCACGCGAATGACGGGTGACTGAGTTTTTTTTCCGCTTGACAGCCTGGAGGGAACATTTGGAATCTGTGGTTGATAGAGAAGTGGTGGGTCCTTGCGTACATCGAGCGGTTCCTCGCAGGAATCTCAAACACCAGAGAAAAGATAGATTTGCACAGCCAGTGAAAGAGATGTCATGGATAAACGATTCACGGTAGGTTATTGGTAAGGGACTTCAAGCGTTATCTCCTGGATACTAGCATAACGGTAAGGACTAGGATTAGATTTAGATTTAGATTTATTGCATGCGCATAAGCACATGGAGGTAGCAAGTGCCAAATAATGGACTGCGTTAGAGCAAACTAAACAACAAACATGAAGATTTCACAAACATATGGAAATTCCCAAAGCGAACAAAGAATGAATTAGTAGTTTAATAATAAAAATAAAAAGAAACAGCATATTAGGTGGCCAACCTTCCAAAAAGATGTCGCCTAACCAGAAAGAATATACTATACTAATAAGTGAGACCTCAAGCGTAGTACTTGTTCAGGTTCCTCTTCAGTTGAGCAGTGGTGTTTGCCAAGGGACACTTTTTACAAAATCTAGAGAACTCTGAGAAGGCCCGAAGTGTGAAGAACTTATTTCTAATGGAGGACCTGGCCTTGGGCAGCGAAGGTTTAAGTCGGCCCCCTCTTGTCGTTGACGGGAGTAAGGTGAAGAAAGTTCGCGTATCTAACGACAATTTGCCTGTAATAATTTTGAAATGCTGTCACGAGATCAAATTTTTTCCTTCTACATTGCAGCGACTCCAAGCCGAGCATTTTGTTCCTTACAATCCCTCTGGGTATAGCGTTATAGTTAAACCTAGAGCGCGAATTAATATCTTTCTAGTAAAACTATTTTGAATGGTCTCCAATCTCGAGATGGCCTTTTTATTATGCGGATAGAAAATGACAGTGCCATACTCTAGCATAGGGCGGATAAAGGCCTTATACGCCCTTATTAGAAGGCATGGGTCCTTGGTATAAAGACTCCTCAGCAATTGAAAAAGCATCGACTCAGCTTTATTTGATATATATTTGCAGTGGGATTCAAAGCAAAGTTTGCCATCAACTATAAAACCCAAATCCCTAACTTCATCAACTTTCCTAAGCTCGACGTCACCCATGTGATAGCTGCTGCCGACCTGATCTTTCCCTATATGAAGAACAACGGTTTTCTCAGGCGCCAGGGGTAGCTCCCATGTCTTAGACCAACTCAAAATTGCATCAATGGCGTTTTGAATCAGTGCAGACTCCGTCTCTGAACTTAATGCCCTGTAAATTTTGACATCGTCCGCAAACATTTTACATTTAACACCTATTTCCTCCACCAATTGCGGGAGGTCGTAGGTATAAATGGAAAATAGCACAGGCGATAAGACGCTACCCTGCGGAACTCCGCTCGGAGCTGACCTGATAGTGGAAAAAGTGTTTCTAACCCTGACTTGAAACGAGCGGCATAGTAGAAAGGACTCCACCCATGAGACAATCCTTGGATGTAAACCGATATGATTCAACTTAAGTAAGAGTTTGGCGTGATTTACCCTATCAAAGGCTTTAGCATAATCGAGATAAATCACATCCACCTCCTTTTTCTCGTCTAATGAAATAGTCCAGTCATTGAGGGCTTCAAGCATGTGCGTTATTGTTGACCTTGCACTTCTAAACCCGTGTTGTCCTTCCGGTAGTATCCTGTTGTTTTCAAGGTGTTTAACGATGACCTTCTTGATCACTTTTTCGAACACTCTACAGAAAATTGAAGTGATGCTGACTGGTCTGTAATTGCAAGGATTGTCACATGGGGGTTTCTTGGGAATAGGGCTGACGAAAGAGATTCTCCATCTTTGCGGTACTTCACCTCTAAACAAGCACAGATTAAAGATATATTTCAATGGACCGACAATCGAGGGGAGCACCTCTTTAATGAATCTGAAGGGTAACCCATCCGGAGTTAAGGACGAACTGTTTTTCCAGGCATGTAAAATGTCGAAGATCTCCTGCTCTTCGAACCAGTGAGAGTCTTCCATTCGTGGATAATCCCCCATCAAATCGACACTAGCATTCGCCCGAACACTATTAGAGGTGTAGATGCTTTCAAAAAAATCAGCGAAGCATTCCGCCTTATCGGCATCAGAGACCACACGGGACCCGTCGGGCTGGATGAGCGCAGGTAGTTTCTCTTTAGGCTTGCATCGAAATGAAATGTATTTGAAGAGAGCCGATTGTTTGCGAAAGTGTGTGGAGAGATGTTGGCTCCCTCGACCCAGCAGAGCAGAGCAGAGCGGTCTTCCAGTGACTCATAAGATAAAGGGGATAGAAAAGTAACATGATTATCAGGGACTCCGAAGCTTCAATCTCACCCAAAGCCCTTATGAACTTGCCTTGTGAAAGTAACAAGAACATGATACCAGGACTTAGGAGGACGAAAAAAAAATCTCGACCTTAGCTTCACTCGACAATCCTTCTGCTTTTATCTAGAAAGATCTGTTCAAAGTATCGAAGGACTTTTAGCTTAAGTTTCTACAAAGCTTCGTTGCCACAATGGTGATGTTGAAACTAAATGAATTGACGGAAATTTGTGGGGGCGTGGGCGAACCAATCCTTTTTGGCTAATCTTTTGTTCATCTGTGGACGTTTCTCCAACACTTACAGAACCTCAATCAATTTCACGCAAAAACGTGGCTCTTGCGCCTGAAATTCAATATAAATCCGTGGGAGAACGTACTCACTCAGGTGAATTTCGACATGTTGGGACGAAAATAGCTGGCTGAGCTGATTCTTAAAAATTTATACTCAGCTGAGATGATAAGGACCTTCATTTTTGGTATACCACGATCCCCTGTATTGGTGCAAACAGGCCAAAGTAGAACGCCACCAAAGACCACTCTATTAATTCCTTTTGGATGGAAACGGAAAGCCCACTCAATAAAAATATAAAGGTAATTAAAATATAAAAAAATAAATATATATAATAAAGCCAATATAATAAAAATAAAGTAAATAAGAAATAAAATAAAATTTGAGGTTCTATTACTTTGCGAAAACAGCGCTTTGTAGGTGGAAACTATTATTGACGGCCTAACGCTTTCGGACCAGATCGTCGTCCTCAGGAGACGAGAACATCTGGTCGAAACGTTAGGCCGTTAATAAAGTTCCACCTACAAACCTCGTTGGCGCAGAAGTAATAGAACATCAAAGTTACAACAATGCCGAGGTTATACGAAGAGAGAATTTGGAGACTATAAAATAAAATAACAATAAATAAAATAATAATAAATAAAAATAATAATTATAAATAAAATAAAGTATAATAAGCTACTATTGCATTTCCGCTGCTTTCCTGTAAGTTTCTTACTTCCATGCACTTGAGCAAAACGTCAAGCCCCGTAGGGGACTCGAACCCCTGACCGTTAGATTAAAAGTCTAACGCTCTACCAACTGAGCTAACGAGGCTCCAGCAGCGCTTCGCTGAGTGGCCGTACAATTTCTAAAACAACCACAGCATGAGATTACACTACGTATGATTGTGCAGTTTTTGTTATTGGCACGCTTTACAGAGGAGCAAAAGGTCACGTCGCGTGATGGACTCGAACTCTGACCGTTAGGTCAAAAGTCGAGCGCTCTACCAACTGAACTAACGACGCAAACTATTCGAGTGCTGTAACAACAATGTGAATCCTAAAGTTTATTCCAAAGACTCAAAATTATTTTTCCTATTTTTATTTTTCACGATTCTTTTACAAATAGATGTGGGAGGGCAGGTTGTAGTTACTGCAACAACTCCAAAATTTGCCAGCTCAGGGGAACAGTTTATCTGGTGGAGTGTCAAGGATGCGGACAAAAATATGTGGGAGAAACTGGGAGGCCCCTCTACAAAAGGATCGACGAACACCGGAGAGCGCTGGGGAATCCACCTTCCTACCCCAATAGCAGTTTCTCCAGGCATCGCACACATGAACACGCTCACCAAGAACCCCCCTCATTAACCATCACAGTGCTACACCGCTCAGTGGAGAACACAATGGAAAGGAAAATATTGGAGGCTCTGGAAATAAAACGGCTCTCACCAGAAATAAACAACAGGGAGGAGCTACGTGACATCATGCAAGTGATAATGTGATCGCGCCACAAGTATCCCACTATTTAAGGGCATGGTTGGGGTGGGTTGGTCATTTATTTCGGGACAACTGGTAAGTGGCTTGGTGGGGGTGGGGTCCGTGCGGGTTGCACTTTGTAGAAGGTATAACCAACAAAACAAGCTAAATATTTTCAGGCCTGACGAAGGTGCTACGCACCGAAATATCGCAAGTTAAGATATATTATAACAAACTTTTGAGACTTTCACTGTCTTTTGAGTCTTTTGGAATAAACTTTTGGAGTTTCACATTGTTGTTACACACTCAGATAAGAAATGAGACTCCGGGACAGCACCATACTCCGATGTACGAAACTTATGTCCGTTTCAAAAGGCTGCACAGGACTGAAGAGACCATAAAGAACACTGATCTCTTTCGCATAATATGTCTCTTAAGAAAGGTTTGATCGGATTGATTAAAATCATGGTAATTGCTGAATTCGATCTGGAGGTTCCACCGTCTAATGGAAAAAACGTAACGTTGAAATCTCAAACAGTGTTTCATACCTGAGTTTGGTGATCGCAAGTAGGTCGGTTGGTGATTACACCCTCAGCTGATAAAGTTTGGACAATCTAAGAAGCGGAATCATTAGTTTCAAAAGTACACAAGTTACAGGTTGCCAGAACATCACCTCGTAGGGTCAATAAGCCACAGAGCGGCCTGTTCAGTGTCCGTTTGGCTCTCATCAAGAAGTTTGTCGAGCTGTGCGAATCACTGGAGCCAAATACAACTGAAGTTCCGGAAGATCGATGCCGCGGAATGAGTCGAAAAGGCGATAGATAGCATTCATGCCTATCAGGGACACTCCCAGATCTTGCTCTTCAACCAGATATCTGAAACATTTTGGAGAACGTCTCTATGCAGCCAGTATCACAGGTAGTGTTACAGCATTGGAAGACTGGACTATGATGAGAGACAATCTTGGGAACGGTGAGGCGTACTCCCCCTCTCTTAAGAGGTGGGGACTGGACACCACCATTTCACACATCATGATGCTGTACCCTGAATCTAGTCACACAAAATACGTTTAGTGTGACGCTCAAATCATCAAGTTTGAGATCTTTTCGAGCCTCTGTTAACGAGGAGGGAATTCAGGAGACAAGAAAGTCTCCATTCGAAACGTTCTTGCTGTAGAAGGGGAACCACAATCTATGTTCTACATATCAGGTACCGAGGTTTCAAATGAAATAACAAGATACTTCACCAAAATTGGCAAAGGTTTCCAGCCCTCATAAGAGGCGCAGTCTGAGGCCTCGTCTAGCTGTTTCCGCCCAGTCCCTTCCGCCCACCAACTTCAAAGCTATTTTCTTCATGGGTTGTTATTACTCAGTGTTCTCTGTTGTTTCCTTGTTGGTTTGTATTAGCTTTGAATGACGCGAACAAAACGACCTAGTAAGTAGAGGGGAGCTTTGCTGGCCATAAAACGCAGGCAGGTCCGAGAATTCGTTTGAAGAGGCTACCAGTCCTTACTTAGGATGTTCTCCATGACATTTTTGCTTTTTTCTGCCCTGGAGAATCATTTAGCATATGCAGATTTGTAATCGAACGGCATTAGTGATGACTCTTACCCAAGCATATAGACGAATAACTGTGGCGTATCAGAATGAGCGAGAAACGTTTCGGCATCAACCAGGATCTGTACGCGAGATCTATCCGGAATTTCCCTGTGATTCTGATGAAGCTGAAATGAGTAGTCTTGAAAGTTCACTACAAGAAGACCGTCAAGTAGCCCATCAAACGTACAGGTGCTAGTAATTATGCGTTACCAATCTAGCGATCATCTTCCAGTTCGTAATATCGTAGTTGACCCGATAGGGATATTTCCACCGCGAGTTGGCTAAAAGCGGCTGGCTGGACGACAACTCGACATCTACGAACGAAACGCTTCTGTTTTTCAACCAGAATTCTCTCACCACCTGAAAGTTGTGGCTGTAATGATATCTGGCTCAGAGATCTAAAGCTCCGTGGATGTCCTAGACATCGAAAACACTGCGTGAAATGGTAGCCCACGTTCAAGCTCACCTGTCCTTCAGTACTTTTCAATGTTCCGAATGTGTAGCTGAATGGAATGCTCCACAGATCACTGGGTTTGGGGGTGTGTCTGGGCTTCCTGAGCTCATCCCTGCGCCAATCTATTGGTATTCTTGCTGAAGGAGGTGCTGCAGTTGGTCGTGGCTTAAAATTGGCTCAATCATAGCTGCAAAGGCGATCTCTGCTTATAGCTCTCAAACCTTCGGCGTTGTCTTCTTCCGAGCGTGTTTTCGACGAGTTTTTGGTTTTTTAATGATCTCTATGGGAGGATCGTCAAAAAGTGAATCATCAAAAAGGGTCGTTTCATGGTAATCATTCGGCTTCCGATATAACGCCGATCATTCCTTGCTCGAGCCATTCGCTATTACTGGCCTGGAAAGTAAATAGGAAGTTTGCAGTTCGTAATGCTGACAGGTATACTTCATTTTATTGACTATATTGGCTGCATAAATAGTTTCCTCAAAGAATTAACATGGGAGAACACGTAGGTGGTGCAGGTAGTTACATGAGAACTTGTGGGAACATTCTCAGTTTACCTTCATGATAAAATCATAGGTTAACGCCTAAAGCTCTCCACGATCAAGGCTTTATAGTTTACGCTCGTTCCATGCCCACCACACATGGAACGAGCGTAAATGGGGTGCGGGGTTCGAGCCCCGAATCGGCTCCTACTCAGGCGAACCAAGCCTTCTACCCGCGGGGACGCGTGAATTTATATCAGTTTCCGTCGGAAGGAGTCGCGAAGTGGTGGCCAATTTAGAAACGAGGGCTAGACCACTTGTACAACGAGACGCCTACGAAGTAGCTCGAGCGCGGGTCGACAGTGTTTAAAGGCGGTCGCCCACGTTCTTGGTATGTTTCCGCGCCTTTCTGGGTACATAGCTCTCCCGGATGAAGATGCAGTATGTATTAGGTTTGGCCAATCTCAAGAAGCGAGTAGCGCCGTTCGCTAGTGAAGAGTCGGCCGCCCGCCCACCTGGCCAGCATAGGATTCTATACAGGACATTTTCCATGATTTTTGTGGTTTTTTTTCTTACTGTACTGAGATCACGTAGTAATATTGATCCATAACTCATTATTCTTGAAAGCAGGCTCAGCCTTTAAAGGCTAAGCCAAAGCAGTTATGGCAGTCAGGTGGGCGGGGCGGCATCCTCTTCACAAGCGGGTGGCGCCATCCTCTCGTATTTTTGAGCTGCGAAATTAGTACATCCTCCACCCTTGTCGACAAAGCTACGATATCTAAGGAGGGCGTAGGAACATCAAATGAACGCGGGCGCTGCCTCTAAAGGCAGTTGGCACGATAATTCCCTAACCAGGGAAGTTCGCCAACTTATTACCATGGAACTTTGAATGGAGACCTGGGCAGATCGATAGAGGCAAAATGCAACCTGATTTCACAAGCAAGTTATGAGCAGGTAAGTTTGTAATGGTGCAGTAGGGTGGAGGCTTGGTGGTGAGCTGTGAAGCATAAGCGAAAATCGCGTTACATCGAAATCCAGTTGTGGCGGTTCAGGGATAAGGTTCGACGTTCGTCGCGACTAGACCGACTCGATTCGACGTATGCGATTCCTCGCTTATGCTTCACAGCTCACCACCAAGCCTCCACCCTACTGCACCATTACAAACTTTACCTGCTCATAAGTTGCTTGTGAAATGCAGGTTGCAGTTTTGCTATCTATATTTGTAAATAACCTTATAGACTCTATCGATCTACCCAGGTCTCCATTCAAAGTTCCATGGTAAGTTGGCGGACTTCCCTGGTAAGACGATTAGGATTGATACGCCTGGCAGGACGGAATTCCGCGACCCTGAGCAGGCGCTGCGTAGCGCCTTTCCCAAGGAAGGTACCCTTATAAGGGCCCTATCAAGCTACAACATACCGACCCGAACGCCCACCACGCCCGCCCGCCCACAAATGGACGACCGTACCTGATGCTCGTATTGCTTCATTTGCGAAGTAAAATATGAAGCGAAGGGATTGGTATGAAGCGGCTGCGGTGCTGCATGGATATATGAGTACATACGTGCAGCCGTATCTACCGTAGCGGTTATTGGCAAGATGCCTACGGAAAACTCGTCCGAAATTGCTTTTTGAGTCATTAAGAACGAAGGCTTTTCTTCGCAGGTTTTTGACCGTTTCACTTCGTTTTTCGCCATTTTCCCACTATATAGCGCCCTGCTAGCATTTTAGGCCGAGTACCAAATTATCGTGCTAACTGCCTTCAAATCACTGCAACGCTGCTTCTGCATGAGGCAGAGGTGATGTGCTGGCGAAAGGCTCGCTTAAAGAGGCTCAAATCTCGAATCAGTCCCCGCCATGCCCAGCCAAGCCTTCTCTCTTCCAAGAAGGGCGAATTCGCACCAGGTTCGTCTGGAAGGATAAGAACCCTTACTTGTACATCGGCTGGCCGTGCAATCTATTGTATAGGTCACATCGCATTGGAAAGTTCGTTTCTCAGTGGAAGTAGAATCCTGTCGCATCCCACAAGGGATCAGTCAACGGCTGACTTTATCCTTCCTCCCTATCCTCTACGCCCTTTTGGTGAACGACATGGCCTTGATTTTTCGGGTCTTGATTCCATCTACCCTTTTGAAATCGATGACGAACAAATAATCGGTGAATAACAGTTGAACAAATAGCATTAGTAGTACATAAAATATCAACAGCAATAGGAGCAATAAACAACGGTAGTACTAGTTTCTAAGACAAGGAA